AAAAACAGATTCTGAGTCTGTCTTTGTATGTAGGGTTGAATTCAGTTTTTAAAGTTGTATGTGTAGGTTTTTTACAAAGTTGTTGTATATTATGAAGATGTCACGTTCGTCTCTACATTGTCTAATGGAATTATTGAGGTCCCGAACGGCTCGGGTGAGTTCTGATATGTTTACCAAGCTATTCAGTGTGTTGAACTCATCATTGAAGGCGACCATATCGTCCATGGTTCCCTGCTCCGACGCGTTCGCGGTCTACCTGGTCGGTTGGGTTCTCGGAGGTTGTTGGCTGTTTTGCTGCGGTCTTCTGGTCGGTAACGGAGCGAATTCTTCTTGAGCATGCCTGTTAGCGACAGGGGGTTGTTTCTTCTCCCGGGCATTCCCTTCTGGGAGTGGCGCCTGCACGTATCTTTTCGGCTGCTGTTTACTTCTTCGTTCTTCCATCCTGGCTACTCTGTCGAGGTATACAGACCATTTTGAGTAGTTGACTGGGTGTTCTCCCAGACAATGTAGGTGACGGGGGTGTCGCAAGTTTTAATACAGGTCCTGGTATGGTGGTTTTCTGCACATTTCAGACACTTTGGGGGTCGTCCGCAGTTGGCAGTGGCGTGCCCCCACGCCTGGCAATTATAGCATTGAATAATTAGTTTGGTTGATTTTCTTAGTTCCCAGACTATTCTTATATGTCCCACTACCCTCACATTTTTGTTTAAAAAGTCCAGAGTTATTGCCATGTCTGTCACAATTCGGGAGAGAGGTCTATTTTTGGTCGACATTTTGTAGATCTCTCTTATTTTGATATCGTATGATAACATTAGGTCCTCTTCTATTTGCTCGGGGGTGGTACCAGACGTTAGCCCTCTTAGCACGAAGGCGTGGGATTTCTCCGCTCTGCTCGTGTACGTATGGTAGGATATTTCGGACTCTTTAATGCTATCCAGGAGTTTCTTATAATCATTTTGTTCCTCAACATAAATAATGGTGGAGTTGTTGGTGTATTTAATAGTATACTTGCCCTTTACTATATTTTGAAGGTCTCTTTTTAGGGAATTATGGTCGTCCGTTCTCCCTTCTACCACTATTGGGGGCATAGAGGATTTTTTGTTTGTACTATTTGGGGATTCGGTTGCTTTACCTTTGTTAGTTCTCGCCGTATTGCTTATTTTCGATTTTCTACTTGCTGAGGGTGATTTTTGTATGATAGGGTCCTCGTCGTCGGAGTCAGTATCAGTCAACGCCTGGAATTTGTTTTGTATCTGAATTGATCTGTCCGCTTTGTCCTTTAGGATGTTGACAAAGTTTGTAGAAATTTTTTTGGGTTTGATGAATTCTCCGCCCTCTGTATTAGTGTCCATGTATTCTGTATTTGTGTTTTCCTGTGTCTCTATTGGAATATCTGAGATTCTCTTCCTCTTGAGTTTAGGTTCAGGGGTAGTTTTGGAAATTTTCGGCACCGCCCCAGTGGATTCGGTCGGTTTGATACCGGTAAATAATCGCACATCGTTAGACTTAATGTTATCGCGCTTTGGCCTCTCGTCTTCGCTCGACGTGGCTGTTTGTCTGTCTGTTCCGAAATTTAGAACTCGCGTGGTTACTGACTGCGGAAGCGGTAGAGTTTTGTACGCGGATTCGAACGTAGGTTGACCGATGCCCCGAGTGTGATCCGTCTGTAGGTTATTTTCATCGTTCTCCGAACTTTTATCGAAATTCTCCAAGCTTTTTACTTTTCCCCATACTTTTTGAATAATTTCGTTTATTGTTTTCTCCGCGTTTTCGGCACTTTCTAGTATGAGACTATCGAATGATTTACTCGCGTTACCGAGGTTGTTTACAGCGTCTTTGTTTTCGTTAAATTCCGAAAATTAACAATAGTGTCATTTAAAGGCGAGTTCTCCGCACTTTCAAACATACGCAAACATCATCCTCACTGCGACAAATACACTAACGGCCATATGCACCATTGTCCAGCTAAGTCCTCTGTTATCTAACAGTAGTATAAAAAATAACAGTGTGTTAACAGAATTTGCTATGCACCATCTATGTACCATCTAATTTACCAGTTTCAGTAAGAAATCAGTCTGTTACGTATATATTACTGTTCATATCCCATAAAACCTTATATAGCCCTTCAAAATAAACAAGTAAAATTAAAATAGTCTGATAAGTAAAATTAACAGGCCAAATTTGGTTTGTTACATTAACAACGCCTTTAACAGATTGTTAGTCGTATTTTGTAATGGTGAATACAAAATTGTCAATTTAACAGTCAGTTATGTAGTTAACTCTCTGATAACTATTAACAGAAGAATGGTGCATATGGCCGCAAATAACTATTTTACTAGGACTAGTACTGAAACATCCTAGTCCGATGGAAGACTGCACGATGACGTAACTCCCCAGTGAGGAAATCGAGGCCTGCCTCGCTGGAGATGGTTATCATCGTCCAGTTGACTAAAATTAGGCATTCCAACGACCTGTCCAAATGGCTACCAGTGGGAACTGACAGTTTAGGTATGGCAACCCTGTTGTCATTAACAGGGTCAATGACGCATATATAGTTATATAGATTAATCAAAGCTGGTCGATTGCGAGCGGCCATATTGCCTGGCAAATATTTATTAATTTGAATCGGTTTAGCGAAAATGTGTTTTAAAATCAATTTTCAGCCTTTGGATATTTAAAAAAAAATAATTTCCTATATTTTTACTTCAAGGCATAAGCTTATGTTTATTTTGAAAAATATGGATGATCAATCTATGTAACTATCTATTTCATTGACCTTATCAAATCACCAGGCCTACAGGGTTGCCATAATTTTGCCATATCATAACCTGTCAAAACCCACTGGTAGTCATTCAGTTTGGAATGCCTAATAGTTACACGCAGACATAGACTATACCAAATGACACACATATATACAAGGACAACCCTGGTTTTTCCCAGGGAAGACAATCGCAAGTGAAATCCCACAAAAACTAACACAAAATTCAATTTTCGATCCGAAACTCACCAATATTTGCTATCGACCGATAGGCAGATGGCACATAAAACTCAGTTATTTTAAATTGGATTGAGGGTACTTCGGGCTAGGACGTTTCGTCCATGCAACCGGGCATGCGAGAATGCTTCGATTCGTTACATCTCGAGTGTGAAATACACTGCTCAACAATTGAACTGGATAATTGGTAAAATCCTGAAATTTATATGTAAACATATTTAATTTTTTTTTTGTATTATCAATAAACCGTATTCACAGCGATTATTTCTTGCATGTTTATTGTTCGTTGGCAATGCTCTTATCTCTTTCACGAAAATTGCCGGAAGGTTGTTTAAAAATCGTAGAGTATCAGTTGTGCAGTTGTTCTGTTACTTTCATCAATAATTTTGTATATTCGAGTAAAGAATATGCCGTTACGACGATTAGAGGCAGTGCAACTGCAGCTATTAGTGCGTTGGATAGAGGAAGGTTTGTCCCAAGAAGAAGTCGCCACGCGGCTGAATGTGTCTCAGAGTGTCGTAAGTCGTGCTTGGAATCAGTATCAAGCAACTGGATCAGCAGCGTACACACATGGGGGAGGACGAGAACGAGCTACAATTCGTGCTCAAGACCGCTTTATAGTCCTGACTGCGAGAAGAAACCGAACATATACGGCTTCAAGAATTAACACCTTCTTTAGACAAGCTACTGGACGAGTAAGTTCTGGTCAAACTATGAGAAGAAGGTTGCATGCATGTAACTTAAGAGCTAGACGTCGCGCAACACACCCAAGACTGACGGCGCAGCAGCGTGCATACCGATATAGGTGGGCGGAAGAACACACTTTTTGGACTTTTTAAAATTGGAGGCACTGCCTCTTTACCGACGAGTCCAGATTTCGTTTGTATACGTGTAATGGCCGAATATTGGTATGGCGAGAAAGAGGACAGCGATACAATGAAAATTTATTGGCCCCAACAACTCTTTGGTGGTGGATCAGTTTGCGTCTGGGGAGGCATATGTTATAATGGTCGCACTGATTTAGTGGTCTTAACTAATGAGACAATGACTGCCATACGATATCGGGACAGGGTTGTAGAGCCGATAATTGTACCATTTTTTGGTGCAATAGGTGAACGATTTGTTTTTATTGACGATAATGCTTGTCCTCATCGGGCGAGAATTGTAAACGATCGCATAGAACATCATGGAATTACAAGAATGGATTGGCCACCCAGATATGAATTGTATCGAGCATGTTTGGGCTGAAATGTCTAGGCGATTAAACAGTTGGGTAATGAGTTGCAGGCAATTTGGGAAACCATACCTCAGCAATTTATCAATAATTTAATAGAGCGTGCCAATTTTTTTAATTTTCCTGTAATTTTCAATTAAATGGTTTTTTTTTTTCAGTTATACATATAATCAATAAAATGTTTTCTGTTACATGATTTTTTTATTTTAAATTATTGACAAAAAAACAAATTTCTTAAATATCCACTCCCTATGTAGAATATGTGAAGAGGAGGACGAAACTCCTATTCACATACTATGCCACTGCCGGAACCTTAAATGGGAACGGGAATGGTACTTCGGGGTACAATATCCGGAACCTGAAGAAATCGCAAAAGCGCCCATCAGACATATTCTTGAATTCATCAAGAAAATCTAATGGGATAGAAACTGTAAGGGGTACAATAAGCCTAGAGCTTCAGTACAAGTGGGCTTTGAACCACGCCCTAATTCAAATAGAGATACTTGGATACCTTTTTAAAAAAATGTAATTTTTGATGGGTTTTTTTAATTCTGAAACTTGCTTTCATGCATATCAACAATGTCACAAAACCTAAATCCTTGAGTATTTTGTTTATTTTTTTAACGTTTATTTAATGACTTCTTACACATTTAAAAAAAGTAATTATCAACTCTGGAATCACCCCTTTATTATTTTTTCAATAAAGTTTAATATATTTTTGTGTGAATGTAAAAAACAAGAAAACAAGACTGATGGTTTCTTTTCCTCTAGACCACAAGAAAAAAGATAATGCTTGTCCACTTTGGATATCAGATGATCTTGAATTCTGGCCTGAACCTGCACCGAAATTTACACAAATGGCAACTTTATACAGCGAACTCATAGCCCTCTCTACTACTGGGCAAATTTACCAGTGGAAATGGAATGAACATGAACCATACAAACACCCAGAAAATCCCAACGTCCACCACCCCAAAACTATACCTTTGGGCCTAACAGGCGAAAAAATAACTCAGTTGTCAGCATGTTCAATGCGTTGTTCTGTATCTACAGAGTCTGGAAAAGTGGCAACGTGGTTGGATGAGTTGTTGACACCTGCTTCTAGCAAACTGGAACATGCAGCGCAAGCTTATACAGAATTTCAGTCGGATAAGATCATTTCTTTGTATACTTGTCCTTTATACACAGTTGCCAGATTGGAAAGTGGTAGTTTGTATTGGTGGTAAGTACATAAAAACGATATCTTATTAAGAATATCATTAAGAACAACTGAAGATTCTATGATTTAAAATAAGACGAATAAACGAACCATACTTATATAAAATATTACTATTTTCCGAAATATAAAGTGAAAATTCAAAAATTGTTAATGGCTATAATTTTTTTATTTCACAGTATACTTTCACTAAATTCAGCAAACATTTTTGGTGTCATAAAATACATCTATCGGGAAAAATCAGTTAAATAAACTTTGCCAGCGGCGTACGCCATGCATATGTAATACCTTCATCCCCTCATTTTTTGATGTTTTTTAAATAAATCAATTTCTCTTGTCTGGAACTTATAAAGTGGTTGGTTTTCGAGATTTTCACACTCAAAGGTGGATGTTCTTCATTTTAAATTTGTAATTTAGGATAATTTTATAAATTCCCAACAAGAGTACATGATTTGTTTAAAAGAGATGAAGGTGTTACTTGCCCATGCTGTACTCTAATGGCAAAGTTAATTTAACCGATTTTTTTCTAATAGGTGTATCTTATGACTCCAAAAAGTTTTGCTGAAATTAGAAAAAATTATACTGAGTAATTAAAAAATAATTTATTAATTTTCAAACATTAAAGCCATGTATTTCGGAAAAGAGTACCATTTTATTTAAAGTTTGTTTCATTTAATCGTCTTATATTTAATTAGAGAATGTTCACGTATTCTATGTCCCATTGGACTTTCATTAGTCAAATAATTTGTACAAAGTTTAATAAACAATATGTTTTAGGGGAGTATTGCCATTTGCTCAGAGGAAACGCTTATGGGAAAAATATAGAACAAAATGTCGAAAGCAAAGACCATCCAGCAATCAGTCAGAAATAGTGGCAGGCTCTCAAGTTTGCATGAAAAACTGCCCAATGTATCAGCCAGGCGCTATAGCTTTTACCGTCGCCAGTGGAGTACCCAAAGTAGGGCAACTACAGAATGCTGCTTGGACTTTAAGTGACACTTGCACATTCAAAATTATGAACGTTGCTACCTCAGAAAAAAGGAGCGAAGTTGGACCAACTGCCCCCTCACTGGGTATGTCTCATCATTTCTACTAAACTGTTTTCTTAGAAAAACACATTAACTCCTAAAATAATTAAAAAATCCACTTCTCTTAAAATGTAATATTCCACACTTTTTATAGTTTTTGTACCAAAAATAAAACTGATTCTATAACAGTACATATTTCATTTCAATTTTTGGTTACTTCGTCCAGCTCACACTTCACCAGTCTTTTCTCAATACTTATCTAAATTTTAAAACGTTTTCCTGATATCAGCTTAATGAGTTATGTAATTGATAATCCAATAACACGTTTATTTCTTTAATTTTTTGTATATTTTTCTTACTTGTACCATTTCTTAAAATTGGTTCCCTTGTAAATTATTGCTTTATTTTGTGCTAGACCAAATTGTATGGATCACATTTCTTATATTAAATTACATTTTCTATGCTAGAAAATGTTTTTGTAGCTAATCTAGGAAGTAAGTCTACAACCAATAAAGAAAATACCGATAGGTTGGATATGCCACCTCCACCATCACCAGCTTCTAGTACATGCAGTGATACAGGCAGTGTCAACAGTCACAGTAAGTAGTAAAAAAGTATTTTTAGAATGGGGCATTCGAAAATTTTGGATTTTTTATGAATAATACCAGAGACAACCCAGCGAGACGTGTAACTCAATGTATTTTTTTTTTTGTTTGGCAAAAGTTGTTTGGGCGATTGTATTGGCAAATAATTAATTTCAATGAAGGAAGTTTTATTCATAGTTTAATATACGCAGTGAACATAGTTTTTATTACTCTTGTAAATTTCGCTAAAAAAAAAACTTGAAAATTATAGTAATTATTAATATTTAAACTTGGAAAAATAATACAACAAACTACGTTTAGAAAGTACCTCGTCTTGCTCTTTTTACTCGATGTCGTTCATTTAGTACATCTACTTCCTCTCTGTCGGATGTCTGTAGTCTTTTAACGCAGAGCGATAAGGTCTGTTTACTCTATATTGAATTTCAGAGCTTTAGGAGTAACTAATCATTTTGTAACAAATTACAAATAAATGAAGTCACAGTTGTTATTTAACTTAAAAGTATTACAAAACCAAGGAAAATAGAAAAAAGATGTTATTTTATCATAAAATATTAAAAAAAAAATAAACAAGTATTTTATAAAGTATAGAATATAGATTATGATTGTTTATTTTAATAGAAACCATAAAAACTAAACAAACACATACACTCACACAGATTCTAAACCAATTCCGTCCACCCCCTACTAACTCCTCTTAGGGTCATCAAGATCAATAGATTTATATGCCATGCCTTCTAAAAGAGAATGACGGATGACATACTATCATCATTTAAACAGTACGTTGCTGAAGGCTTGCCCCTGTTATGTCGTCTGTTTTTGTATCTTGTGCGTATGCATTCTGTTGTCCCCAATCATGTGAAAATTATCCTAGTCTCCTAATTTGGTGACTAGGTTGACCTTCTCTAACTAGTCGTCTCTTATACGAAACCAATTTAGGATAGCCTTTTTTTTTTCTTCGTTCAAGCATTGTTTGCTCTGTTACACAGCACCCTGCAGTAGCCTGCGGCTATCATAGGAAACGTACAGATAGAAAAAGAAGTGGAATGTTACTTATCGCTCTACAGTGTGCTGCGGTCGTCATAAGTAAAAGTACAAGTAAAAGAATATTCCAGAAATGTCATTACCTGTCAAGAACATTCTAGATGACAGGTCGAGAAGGTTCTACAAGGTCAAGAAACCTGACGTCAGAGTTTTAGTTTTATGATAGACGCTATACCAAAGAATACCTACCCAAGAACCGAAACTAAATGGATTCATGGACAAAAACTGCCAAGTTTTCTCAGTGTTTTAGAGGTGGTTTAACGTCAAATATAGCTGTCAATTTATGTAGAGCAACGTTTGGTATATTATTATTACCGTTTCGTGAAAATTGCCGTATAGTTAAGTACGTAGTTATATTTAACTAGAAATTAGATAGTTTTAAGATTTTTTATTATTTGAAAAAAATACATTGCATTATTCGTAAATTTTAATGAACGTTCTTGCATCTGGCTGTAAATGTTTTATTTTTCAAATTTCTAAATCAGTATTACCTCTAAAGATAATTTACGCCTACGTATTATGCATCGTTTAAATTCATATAGTCATTTATTTAAAATTTGTTTTTTTTTTGTTTTTCAATTAATTCGGAATAAAACAGTTAAAAGAACCAAGTTGCTGCAATCAGGATGCAATCGAAATGCATTTACAGCTACCTACAGTACTTCTGTATATATGACGTGTGCATGCTCCTAAGAAGGGCTAGGTCCAAAAAGTATTTAGTTGGCTGCCTTCTTGGCTAGTGAATCAGCAAGACAGCTACCCTTCGATGTAGCGTGACCTTTGATACATGGCTTATGGAAGATTAATCTCGATGAGATGAAGTTCATGTTCGCTTGAAGCAGTGGGAGCGTATCGAGCGCCTTTTGCGAAAAGTGGCGTCTCGCCTCACCAGATCCTACATCATGTTCTATTCCAATCGTGCAGAGGCGTGTCATGGTTATCAGAGCAACTTCCTTGATGTAAATATCAAGGGGAGTAAGACTAAGAACGACTTCCATGGTTCTGGTTTATGTGGTTTTCATGGCTCGTTATGTTGAGAAATGCTCTTATTTGAATTTGTTCTAGTTTGCGGATAGCTGTCTATTTTTGGATTTTGTTTTGACTCTGTTTTCCAAGTGTGAGTTCCATGTTAACTTGCTTTATCTCTGTTGCAAATATTGAGATAGAATAAAGAGGAGAGATGTTATGACGATGCTTAAGTGTCCGCACCTTTGCATTACATTTTTACGTCATATGTCAAACTCGAGATAGTTTTAGTGAGAATAAATGCCATTTTTTTTAATAGCTGCATTTAAATCTTTGAATATATATTCAAAGATTTAAATGATATAAAATTAGTTTTAGTCCGTCAGTCTTCAAATATAAAATTATTGACTTAAAATAAATCAAAGTGCGACTAAAGTCACCATTTTCATTACAATTTTCCCTCACTGGAAGTCCATCCTTCTGTCATATCGCAAAACAGTATTTATGTCGTCTCTTCTTTATTCTATCTCGTTGGTTGCAAAGTTTTGTTTTGTGTTTAGGAACTCGGGAGGTTTTAATTCCATTTTCACCTCTTTCCTTGTGAAAAGGACCATTTCCGTTTTCTTGGGATTGATAGACAGTAAATGGTCCTTGCACCATTGTTCTATAATTTTGAGACCTACTTGCATTATTTCGCAGAGTATATTCTCAAAATGCTCTATTTGCAGAATGACCAGAATATCTACTTACGCTATTGTGTAGTGACTGTCATTATTGTACCCACAGTACTTATTTCGTTACTAAAATAATCTATTTTACATAATGAACATATTAAGAATGTTGTGTCATTAGTGGTGTTCACTATCATCGAACAGTTTCATTTGATTAATGATTTGTTTAGGAATCATACGTTTCTGTGTTTCGTGTAAACAGCTGCGATGACGGTAAAGTGACCATCCATCCCGATTTAGGTGGGACAGTCTTGATTTTAAATCACTACTTCCGATTTAACATGTGTCCCGATTTTGTCCCGTCACTACAAAAAATAGAATTATTTGAAGAAAAATCTCCTAATCGCAATGGTTTTGATTTGTACCGCTTTCTTATTTTCAAAATATGGTCACTTTAGATGACAGTGAACGAATAACGGACGGTGTTGAAATTTGAAATAATTTGACATATCTTTATAGAGTTTGTATTTTAAATTAACCTCTAGGATCATTTATTATTCCAAACATTCTGAGTCAGGTATTAAACTTATTTTACTGTAAAATATGTTTTATACATTTTACTTCAACTTACGTAAATAACACTACAACAGAACTAGTTCCCATTTGGCATACTTGACAAAACTAAACGCTAAACGAACATTACAAATCACAAAATATCTGTTAAATACTATAAAATTTCGTTAATTGTTAAACTTAGATGCGACTTTAATTTGCACTTTTACGTTTTACCTAGCTGTTTCTAGTTTGCTCGTTTAACTTTTGCCGTTTCATAATTGTATGAAACCGGTGAACGAGTCCATTGTACCTATGTGTTTAAATTGTTATGAACCAAACGACAAAAATTGATTAATTTTCATACGTTTCCCAGTGTATTAAGTGCATTGGTACATACGAAAACTCATTTAGTTTCGCTTCTTGGGTAGGTATTCTTTGGCTATACGTGAATGTTATCAGTTATAAAGTTATTGTTAAAGTTGAATTATATTTATTGTAAAGTTCAGTTGAAATAAATTGTGATACCAAAAACCAGCGTAACATTGGTGACAGCGGTGGGATATAAAGTAAAAGTTCATGGTAAATACTAGATCTACTGAGTACGAAGCAGAAATGGACACTTCTGGCCCTCCTGCATGGTTTTTGAAGATGGAAGAGGAAAAGGAACGGCGTAGGAAGGAAGAAGAGGAGGAGAAGGAACGGCGTAGGAAGGAAGAAGAGGAGGAAAAGGAACGGCGTAGGAAGGAAGAAGATGAGGAGAGAGTGAGGCGAGAAGAGGAAAAGGAAAGGCGTAGGAAGGAAGAAGAGGAAGAAAAGGAAAGGCGTAGGAAGAAAGAGGAAAAAGAGAAGGAGGAAAGGCGAAGGAAAGCAGAAGTAGAGATTATAAATGCCTTAGTGCAAATGCAGGAAACCATTAAGCAAGAGGTTGGTCAGCTTAAAATTAGAATAGATCTGTTAGAACAGCAGCAAGAGAATCTAAAAAATAATTTAAAGAACTTGAAAACGAATTTAGAGCAACAACAAGAAAAGGCTAGAGCAGACTTGGAAAGGCAAATTAGAACTGAAATAGTTGAGTTAGAAAGAAGAATTCGCAGCCAAGCAACGTTAAAGCTGAAAACACTACCTCGTCTTCATCCATAACCGAACCAAGCCACATTCGAATCCCAGTTTCACAAAACTATACTAGCAAGACCCTTAAGCCACCCACGTTTGACGGTCAGACAACATGGGAAACATCGACTCCAATTTGAAGCTGCAGCTAGTGCCAATGACTGGACTGAGAAAGAGATGGCGGCTTCATTAATAGTGTAATTACGAGGTCAGGCAGCAACTATTTTACAGTTACTTCCACAAGGAGAACCCTCATCTCTCGTCCAAGCTTTGGAGACTAAATATGGCCAGCAGCATTTGAAACAGGTTTTCCAAAGCCAGCTAAAAATTCGTAGTCAGAAACACAGTGAGAGTCTACAAGAATTCGAAGCCGATATTAAAAGATGCTGCATCTGGCCTATCCCCAGGCACCTAAAGATTTCTTAGAACAAATCGGCGTACAAACATTCATTGATGGACGTGGAAATGCAGCAGGTTCTTCGGCTACAACACCACAAGACGTTGAGTGAGACGCTAATTGCAGGCCAGGAATACGAAGCAGCAAAAACTATATCTAGATCTTCTCGTGCAAAAGTGAGAGAAATTAGATTCCAAGAAAGTGAAGAGGCCACTACTAATACTGCCCTTCAAACTACCCTATCACAAATTTTA